ATGAACAGAAACTTTTCAAAAGAAGACAGAATAATGGCCAAAAACATATGAAAAAATGCTCAACATCTCTAATCATCAGGGAAATGCAAATTAAAACCACAATGAGATATCACTTATCTCCAGTGAGACTGGCCTTTATCAAAAAGTCCCAAAACAATAAATGTTGGCGTGGATGCGGAGAGATAGGAACACTCATGTTGGTGGGACTGCAAACTAGTGCAACCTCTGTGGAAAGCAATATGATACCTTAAAGAGATACAAGTAGAAGTACCATTCGATCCAGCAATCCCATTACTGGGCATCTACCCAAAAGAACAAAAGATACTCTATAAAAAAGACACCTGCACCCGAATGTTTATAGCAGCACAATTCACAATTGCAAAGATGTGGAAACAACCCAAGTGTCCATCAATACATGAGTGGATTAATAAAATGTGGTATATGTATACCATGGAGTACTATTCAGCTTTAAGAAACAATGGTGATATAACACCTCTTGTATACTCCTGGATAGAGCTGGAATGCATTCTACTAAGTGAAGTATCCCAAGAATGGAAAGACAAGCACCACATGTTCTCACCATCAAATCGGTATTAACTGATCAACACATAAGTGCACATATAAGAATAACATCTACTGGATGTTGGGCAGGGGGGAGAGGGAGGGGGAACAGGGGAGGAGGGAGGAGGGGATGGGTATATGCATACACAAAGAGTGCAATGCGCACCACCCGAAGGATGGACATATTTGAAACTCAGACTTGGGGGGAGAGAGGGCAAGGGCAACATATGTAACCTAAACATCTGTACCCCCATAATATGCTGAAATAAAAAAAAAAAAAAACATCAAAAACAACAGAAGAAAGTCTGTATAGTCTTAACATATTGGAATTATTAGAGGCAGACTGCAAATCAACATGCTACTGCTCCCAAAGAAATACAGAGGATAGCTACAGTATGAAAAAACATAATAAAAGGATATGCTTCACAAATGTATACTACCATATTTGAAAATTCAGACAAAATGGACAAACTTCTGAGAAAATGTAGCTTATCGAATTTGACTTAAGAAAAAACTAGACAACCTGGACAGATGTATAACCGTTAAAGAAATTAAATCCATAGTCAAAAATATTATACAAAACAATAACAAAACTATCCTCTCCCTTTTCCCCAACTCTCTCCAGGTCCAGATAGCTTCCATGGTCAGTTCTACCAATTATTCTAGAAAGAAATATTCCAATCTTGCACAAATACTTCCACCAGAGCATGAAGAAAGAGAGAATACATTAGAAACAATACACTCTGCCTTGGACTATGAAGCCAGCATAACCTACACTACAAAATCTCATGAGGACAGTACAAGAAAGAATAATTACAGGCTAATTTCTCCCATAAATTTTTAAAATTCTATGTAAATTATTAATAAACCAAATCAAAAAACATAAAGATACTTCATCACGACCACATTGAGTCAAGTATTAATATATCTCAGAAATGCAAGGCTGCTTTAATTGTAAAATATAATAACATGAAGAGATGTAAATAAGACCACATAAATGCACACACCTATATCTGCAAAAAGAAAACACTTGAAGGATAAGCAAAAAACTAGTAAAAGTGGTTGCCAACAGCTGGTGGGAGAACCAGGTAGAAGGGGCATTTGAGACATATGAACACATTACTGGTTTTTAAATTTAATTTTAAAAAGTAAATCAGCTGGGCGTGGTGGCTCATGCCTGTAATCTAGCACTTTGGGAGGCCATCATGGGAGGATCGCCTGAGGCCAGGAATTTGAGACCAGCCTGGGCAAGAGCGAGATCCCATCTCTACAAAAGATGGGGTGCTCCTGTAGTCCCAGCTACCCAGGAGGCTGAGACAAGAGGATCGCTTGAGCCCAGGAGCTTGAGGTTGCAGTGAGCTATGATGAAGCCACTGCACTCTATCCTGGGTGACAGAGAGAAAAAACCCTGTCTCAAAAAAAAAAAGTAAGTCTATTAATGTAATTCATTGCATTAACATAGTAAAAGAGTAAAATCACATGCTCATCCCAATAAATGCAGAAAAATCATTTGATAGTCAATATCCATTCAAAATTAAGAAAAACTTAGGAAACTAGGACCAGAAGAGAATTTTCCTAATCTCATAAAACATATTAAAAAAAAACTATAGAACATATCATTTATTTGTGAAATGATGTAAATTATGCCTAGATTAGGAACAAGCCCAGAATATCCATTATCACATCTATTCAACATTACACTGGAGGTCCTATCCAAAGCAGTAAGGCAAGAAAAAACCACAGGTACAAGGATTGGAAAGACATGAAAACCATCCCTCTTTGCAGATAATATGATTATGTATGTAGACTGAATCTACAGATAATTAGGATAGAGTATTTAGCAGATAGTTAATACAAAAGTCAATATATAAAAGTTAACCATATTCCTATATACGATTAGAAAAAAAACTTAAAAACATTTTTTCCAATGTAACCTAGGATTAACTGCACAATGTACAAGATCTTTCAGAAAAAAAGAAAACTTTATTGTGAGGCAATAAAAAAGACCTAAATGAATGGATCAGAAGACTTCATGCAGTAATGGTATTAATTTCCCCTATATTGGTTGATAAATTCCATACCATACCCAAAAAATCTCCTGCAGGCTTTTATATAGCATGATTCTAAGAAACATAAAGGGCTAAGACTGGCCAAGACACTCTTGTGGAACAAGATGGAAAGACTTGCTCTATCAGATATTAAGACATATCATAAAGCTATAGTAACTAAAAAAACATGTTGTTCACACAGTGTTATATTAACAGATTAACGGAACAGAATAACAGAGTCAAGAAACACATTCACATACGGGCACTTGATGTATGACAGGTGGCACGGCAGATCAGTGCAGAAAGGGCAGGCTTTTCAACAAATGCTGCTTAGAGCAATTGTCTATTTGTATGAGGGAAAAAGGAAATTGAGCCCCTACTTCCACTACACAAAAATCAATACTAAGTGGAACAAGACACAAAAAGCACTAATTATAACGGAAAGTATTGATAAATTTTACATTAAAATAAAGAACTATTCAAGGCACCACTTTTTTAAAAAAGAAAAACCACAAAGTAGAAGATATTTACAACCCATATAAACAACAAAGAAGTCAGAAACAAATATATAAAAACTTCCATAAACGAATGAGAAAAAGATAAACAATCCAATAAGAAAATAAGCAAAAGACCTGACTAGATACTTCACAAAAGAAGAAATACAAAAGATACTCAAAGTCATGGGTGACCAGAGTAATGCAAATTAAAACCGTCATAAGATGCCATTACATATCTACAAGATAGACAAAAATTTAAAATATTGTAATAGCAAGTGTTGGTGAAAAATACATAAGCAAACAGGAACTCGCATACTCTTCATGGCAATGCAAACTGGTACCACCACTTTGGAAAACAGCAACATCCAGTTCTGTCGAAGATATGCATAGTCTATGATCCAGTAATTTCACTCCTATGTTTATATTCCATTTAAATATATGTAAACATGTACTAGGAGACATGACTAAGAATGTTTATACCAACATTGTTTATAATAGCCAGAAGCTCCAAAATCTGGGAACAAATCAAATGTTTATCCATGATAGAATGGGTAAGTGCAGCACATTCATAAAATCGAAGTCAATACAGCAATGAAAATGAACAAACCACAGCCAATCACTGAATGAATCTCACAAACACAATACTGAGAAAATGAAGCAAAACCCGAAAGAATGTATGATAAAAATATGATACCAACAGCGTCAAGTTCAAATAAATTTATGAATGCACATACGTGGTACAAGTGGAAAGATAAGCAAAGGTATTATCACCACAAAAGTCAGAATAATGGTTACCCATGGGGAAGAGATGGTTATAATTGAAAAAGGGTGGGGGCAGGGGGAGGTTTCAATATTGTAGTAATGTTCTATTTCTTAATCTGGGTGAAGACTATATCAATCAATATTTGCTTTATAATTATTTGTTAGACTGTGCATATGTTTTTACCCACTTTCTCAATAAAAAATTGGGATTAAAAAAGGGAAAATCTAATACATACGATCTTCATTATCAAAGAATTTGTTATCCCAATGCCAGCAACTGTGAGGTTGCTTAGGAAAGCAGAAGTCATCATAATATGACAACATTCACTGATATACCAATCTCTTAACGAACTGATGGCTCCACTCAAACTTGCCTCCCTGGTCGACACCAGCAGTTTCTCTTACTGACTGTAAACACCCACAATATACATAAAAGGCAAATTATCTGCAAATTCATTCATTCAACAAATATTTACTAAGTGTCCACTACTTGCCAAACACTGTTCTAGGAGACCAGCAAGGTCCAAGATAGAAGGCCCAGAAGGACATGGGAACTTCCACTCCCACCCCAATTTGGCCTCCATCCTCTTACCCTCCTTTCCTACCAAGTTTCACACACGAAGAACCTAAAAGGAACTCGGGGCACACGTGAAGTTATTATCAAAACCACTACGTAAGGGAGTCTTTTCACTACAGAGAAATCACTGTAGTGACTGGATTCATTTTGCAAAATCATGGCTTATGTTTTCAAGTAGGCAAAGAGATTGCCCTATCAAGAGCCCAAAGGCAAGGCACTAGTCTCAACATTAGTGCTGCCGTAAAAATTGGCTTAAGTAGGGTCAAAACTGCCAAGAAGTGCTTTACCTGGGATCCATAGCGCAGAAGCCTGCAATTTTCCAGAAATTGTACACTACATTTTGCGTGTGCATGTATTTTCTCGGGTCAGAGCATAGAACTTTCCATCTGATTCTCAAAGGAGTTCAACCAAATGGGTAAGCACTGCTCCCAACAAGTTGAATGGATTAGCTTTTTAGGGACGTGGTGAAAGTGAATATGGTCACAGCTAGGCCACCTGGGTTGAAACCCAGGTGTCCAGACCCCTAGGCCTATACTCTACAGGCCCCATACTTACTCTTAGTTCTTCAAAGGCTTCGTCTAGGGTGGAGAGTTGGTGGCCCCGGTGAGCCCCAATGACTGGACACAGGACACAGATGAGCTGCCTATCTTCCTGGCAATAAGTGCTCAAATCGAGCCCATGGTCCGGACACTTCCTCTTAGCCACTCTCTCTGCTTCCATTTCTATTTCTGGGTCAAATTCGCTTTCTGCTTCAGTTTCTCCCTCCGCCTCAGATTCCCCTTCTTCCTGATTGTCCTCCTCTGCCTCGCTTTCTTGCTCATCCTCCATTTCTTCCTCACTGTCTTCTTCACTCTCGTCATCGCTCTCATCCTCACTCTCTTCCTCCGTCTCGCTCTCTTCTTCCGACTCACTCTCTTCCTCAGACTCACTCTCTTCCCCTGCTTCGCTTTCTATCTCCCTCTCCTGCTCCACCTTGGCCTCCACTTCTTCCTTCCCCGCCCCCTCCCCGCCGGCTCGCGAGATCCAGGCCTGGGCGCCGTGGACGTATTCGGCTAGGTGGTGACTGAGGAACTTCTGCCTGTGCGCCTCGGCGTGGCGGCGGCAGTAGCAGAAGCCGCATTCTCGGCACACTTCTTCGGCCCCAGGAGCCTCGTCGGGCTCGCACTCGTCACACGTGCCGTCGTGAGGCAGCTCCTCGAAGGCCGCGCCCACGCCGGAGGCCATGTGGGTGCTGTGACGCGGCCAAGGCCTCCGAGCCCGCCGCCTTCCCTTCTTGCGGCCTCTTCACTTCCTCCTTCCGCCCCCGGGGTCCCTTCCTCAGGAGTCGCCGCCCGTCTGGGCCGCGCCGCGTCTCCGAGAGGGACCTGGGGCCGCGGCAGCCCCTGCCCGGGCGGAGGAGCAAACGGCCTGCCCGCCGACTCGACCTGCTCTGCACGGCTGCTGCGCTTCCTCTGTTGCACGGGGCACTTCCGGTGCAGCCGCCCAGTGCCCCCGTCGGCCCCCGCGCCGCACCGCCCGGTCGGCCTCCGGCTACCCGGGCGAACTCGCGGGCTCCGCGGGCCCTTGCGCCGCCCCGGTTCCACTTTCCCTTTCGCTGTCAGGCGGCCCCTTTCACTTCCTGAGTCATTTAAAGTGGCAATGGCCCTTTTCTGCCTTTCCTGCGGGGCTCAGCTGCGCGGCTCACAATCTCAGCATCCCCCGAAGGAGCAGGAGGATGGAGAAAGTCTCCCGCTGGCTGCGGAGGCCGGAATTGGGCCCCGCCTCCCCCACTCCTTCCCTGCAGGTGTTACCCTGACTTTTCAAGGCCACTAGCTTGGTGTCCCTGTGTATTTCAGTCGCTCTCTTGCCACGTTATCGCTGCCCATCACAGTCCCCGCTGTTCTGCAAGGCGCCGGGACTAAGTTGTGTTTACCAGACTGAACCTGACCTCTTGGGACTTCCTGAGGGCCCCAGAAAGGCTGTGTTTGTTCTCCAGGGCTCAGGGAATGTCAGTCAGGCTGAGCAAACAAACATTTTCGAACCACAGCAAAACTACGCTTTGTATGTTTGCGAAGTCTATTTGCGTTCCTGCCTCCTAGGGCCTCAGAACTTCTGGGGTGGTAACCTCTGTGCCTTTTCCTGAGAGCCTGCCTTGTCTTAGACCGAAATGTCAGGTGAAGTGAGATGGGGAGAGACAGTATTTGTCTAGTGAGAGTTCCAGGTTACAGCCATTTTCCTTTATGTAAGGAGTCCCTCTAGATTCAGATTGGATTCCAAGAGAAAGTTAGGGGGGTATTGTTTATTAAACAGTACTAAAGTGCCAAGAACTGGGGTAGATCGTTTTATGGCTCTTTTTAAAAGCCGGTTTTTTGAAAGATTCACTGTCCAAGGGCCGCCAAATCCTGATGCCACTGCTTTATCAGTTTTGTGATCATGGGCAAGTAAATACATCATGTTTTCCACTTTTTAAAAAATATGTAAAGTGAAAATAATGGTAATATCTACCTTATGGAGTTGTTTTATGGATTAATTGTAAAGGTGCCTGCACTGTATTCACTAAGCTTTAATTATTATTTTTGGCACAAATTATATTTAGTGTTCACAATAACCCCTTGAAGGAGATTTTGAAACATTTTACATGCATAGGGCATTTCTGGCGGGTTACTGGTAGTGTAGGCAATTCCCCACCCCTACCCTATATCAATGTCTCTCCATTCACAGAAGAGCTTTTGTTTTGTACTGTATTTGGGAGAGGAAAAAGGATTTTTTGATCTAGTCAGGGCAGGGGCTGGGGTGTGGTTAGGAAGAATAGAGAAGTGTGGAGTGATTTTATTGATTCCCGTAGATAATTTTGAGCTAGGGTTTTCAAATGTTCTCCACAAAAATACCAGGGGATGAAGTGGGGTAAAAAGCACTTTAAACAATTTTTAATGTTTCCCTGGATGATGTATGATTAACCTTTGTGCAGCTTTTGTTAGATATTTTATTTTTTAGAAACCTTTTGTTTTTTACCCTCAGAACAATTCTGTAGAATGTTGAAAAAATTCTGATTTGTTTTGTTCTAATTTGTACACATTTCTCTTTTCCTCCAGCTCATTTCTCTGGAAATTACTTATATGTCTGCATTTGAAACAAGGATTGACACACCATTCTGAAAAAAAATATTCAACAAATGTCAACTCAAACATCAACATTAATAATACCTAGTGAGTAGTATTCCTTGCTTGGTTATTTACACCTCCGCCTACCCGAGGCTTGAAAGGAAACACCTTAGCCTTTAGAAACATAATGTTATCACATGTAGAAAATCTTTTTTCAATGAAAATAATTTTTTAATGTCTTAAAAGGACATTTTGTGTCTAGGATTTTTGGTGTGGGAAGGAGGAGTTTTATTGTTGTCATTATTGTTATTATTATTTCTTCTTAATTTTACCTGACAGAAGGTTAGACTGTCCTACTGTGCTGTTTAGTATCTGACACTTTGTAATCCTTCTTTGAGCCCTCTATGGAGAGAGGGTCTTAGAGGCAGAAGCTGATGAAACTATTAAAAAGGGACTTTATAAAATTCGGTTGACAAGCTGTGGCAGAATCAATGAAGCAGATCTTCTGTACCCCTCTGCACAGAAATCAAAACCGGCTGATTCCCCAGGAATTGGAATCTTTGGGAGCATCCACAAATGGTACTCTTACTATATTAATCTACTTCTGCATAGAAAATTGCCTCAAAATGTAGCAACTTAAAACAATAAACATTTATTATCTCACATAGTTTCTGTGAGCCAGGAATCTGGGAGTGGCTTAGCTAGGTTGTTCTAGCTTAGGGTCTTTCAGTAAGGATGTGGGGTATACTACAGTCATGTGAAGGCTTACCTACGAATGTAGAATTTGCTTCCAAGATGAATCACTCACATGGCTGTTGGCAAGAGGCCTCATCACTTTCTATAGGGCTGCTTGAGTATCCTTGTGACATGGTAGTTGGATTCTCTCAAAGCAAGTGATCTAAGAGAGGGCAACATAGAAGATGCAATGTCTTCTATGACCTAAGCTCAGAAGTGACCTGCCATCATTTCCAACATAGCCTATTGGTTTTAGAGATCAGCTCTATTCAGTGTGGGAGGAAACTACACAAGAGCTTGAATACCAAAAGGTGGGGATCTTTGGGTCATCTTAGAGGCTGGCTACCACAGTCTGCCTTTTGATCTCCAAAGATTCACATCTCTCTCAAATGCAAAATACACTCACTTCTTTTTTTTTGTTTGTTTTTTAGACAGGTTCTCACTCTGTTGCCCAGGCTAGAGTGCAGTGGCATCATCATAGCTCACTGCAACCTCAAACTCCTGTGCTCAAGTGATCCTCCTGCCTCAGCCTCCTGAGTAGCTGGGACTACAGGTGTATGCCACTGTGCCCAGCTAATTTTTCTATTTTTAGTAGAGACGGGATCTTGTTTTTGCTCAAGGTGATCTTGAACTCCTGAGCTCAAGTGATCCCGCCACCTTGGCCTCCCAGAGTGCTAGGATTACAGGTGTGAGCCACCATGCCCAGCCTGAAATAGACTTACTTCTTCCCAAGGTCCCTAAAAGTCTCAACCCATTATATTATCAGCTCAAAATCCAGAATCTTATCATCTAAATTGGGACCAGATGTGGATGAGACTCCTAGGTATAGTGTTTTAAGTGCAGCTCCTCAAGTATAGTTCATCTAAATACCTGTGTCTCCCACACTCCCAACATACAATGGTGGGACAGGTTTAGGATAACAGATACAGACACTCCTGCTCAAAAAGGAAGAAAGAAAGACAGGAGGCTCTGAGAGTCACTGGGCCATAGAATTTTTAAATCCATTTGGGCACATGTTGGAACTTCCTTGATTAGGGCTCAAATCTACTTCTGCCCAGGAATGACTATCAGTGGCTCTTGACCTCACCCTTCAGGCTCTTGATTCCACTTTCTGGGTCATCCTTCCTTTTTCATTAAAAGTAGCCCATGTTTGCAGCTATATAGTTTTGTCGGTTTGCTTCCTGCAGGTAGAATTTAGGAGGTCCAAAGACCACTTTTCATTTTGTACTGTCTCTGTGTGTCAGCTGGCAGTGTTTCTGCCAATATAATTCTTTTAAAAATGTTGTGAGTCTCCTATAAATCTAATTGGGGTTCACTCCATTGGGCAAAAATTATACCCACCAATCTCTTCAAGATAAGCCCTCCTCTATAGTATAGAGTTTCTTTGCTGCAACTGCTGAAGCACAACACCAGTAAGCTTTAGTGAAGCCCTATTGTTTGTTTTTATGATTCTCTGAATCACAGCCGTAGATCTTTTTGAGGTCTGAACAAAGGGTTTTACAGCCACACCCTCAGTTCATCATTTGATGATGTTTTCCTGGCAGTGTCCTGGAATTTATCTTTGCCTGGAATCAATTTCTTTATTTTAGCATCATTTGCCATCTGGAGAAGATGGGAATTTCCAAAACTAGCAAGTTCTGGATTCTTTTTTTTTTAAAGTCCTTCCTGTAGATCTCTTTCTTCTCACATTTTCCTATAATCAGCAAGAAGACATCAGCCAACACTTTTAACAGTCTGCTAGGAAATATCCTTAACTAGAACACCCAATTGATTAGGCACATTTTCTACTTTCCAAATTACCACAGGTGACAGTGTTACTAAACTCCTGCCACTTCATATCAAGGACCCCTTTCCTTCAGTTTCCAATAACATTTTCCTCATTTCCCTTTAAGCCCTCATCTGCAGCTTTCTCAAAGGCCATCAGGATTCTACTAAGAATTTCTTCAAGACTCCAGTCTTTTACTAACAGTCTTCTCAAAATTCTTTCAGCTTCTGCCCACTGCACGGTTCCCAAGCCGTTCCAACATTTCAGGGTTTTGTTATGGAAGAACCTCATTCTTCGTGATAAAATTTGTATTAGTTGTCTATTGCTGCATAATGTAGGCAGCAAGGGAAAACTTCCTTTTCACCCTCTGGAGGTTTGCTGAAAAATCAACTGAAAAAAGAAGATTAATAGGAGAAAAGACATACAAATTTATTTAATATAAGTTTTACATGACATGGGAACCTTCAGAGTGAAGACCCAAAGATACAGTGGAAACTGTCCACTTTTATGCTTCCATTCAACAAAGTATGGATAGCCATGTAGAAATATGATTGGACAAAAAAAGGATATGATCTAATACTAACAGACCGAGAAAGGAAATTCAACAAGGCTTGTATGTTTAGATTCTTCTTGGCCTCCCTGTGCAGCATTCCTTCCTTCTGGGTTTGGGGAAGGATCCTGTCTGGAATGGAGGTCATATGACCTACAGTCAAACAAGGTAGGTCAGATCATTTCTTTGTGGCCAATTTTTACACAGAAAGACAGAGGAAAGTTAGAGTAATATTTTTAGGTTCTATGGCTGGGTTTGGGTAAAAGGGGTTCTGGTCTCTATGACCTGCCTTGGGGAAGAAGGATTCTAGTTTCTATGGTTAGCCTCAGGGGAAAGTGAGGAGTGAGAGACAGGAAGGTAGGAGAAGGTCAGAGAGAAACTTTTGCTTCTGAGACTGCTTCTGAGGCCTTCATTTTGGAGTATTGTTTTCTAAGCCCCAACAATAACAAATTACCCCAAAACTCTGAGTCATCTTGGGGGCTGGTCATCATACTTGGCATTGCC